AAGTTTTCACCAAAAATCACATCAATATTTTGACGTTTGCATTCCGCTGCGCTACACCTTCTTTCATAATATGACAAAATGGGTCCAGTGCATCGTTCTGTGACAAAACAGGACAATTTCAGTCTTTCGAGAATCACAACAAAGCATCACATCATAACCGCTGAATCGCCTATGGGTTATGAACTCAAAACTACTTACCCATCCTCAATACAGTTTCCATCCTTACATATCGTACACAGCTTATCTTCTTCTGATTCCTCATCCGTCAATCCTTGATCGCTTGAAACCGGACAAATACTAGGTTTACGATTGCAATTTGCTTCTGGACTCTAAACATAGTATTTAAAATTTGTGATTGTGCATACCTGCATGCAGTTGCTCAAGTGACAATGAAATATAATAATGTAACAATTCTTTGAGGGAATATACGAAGAGTCGCACCTGTATAAGGCTCGATCCAGCCATATCCTTTGTCCGTAACGACTTTAAGAAACGTTTCCGTCTGCGTTTCGGTTTCTCTTCAGCAATCCTTTGCACATCCAGTGCAACTGTTCCTACAATCGTAATCACACAGTCAACAAGCATGTGGCTTCATTCAAAAACGAATTCGGCTAATGTGATGGATCAATCAGATATCTGGTATTATGCAAAAAAATTGTTGTTGCTCTATGATGACGGTTGTTATTCGATTGTTGGTTACCTCAGTTTGCAATTCGAACAACTGTTCGCATGACATTAATAGTAAGACTCATAATTTTCAAGTCAGTAAAAGCAAAGGAATATGTGATTAGTGATTGCGATTTGCAACGTTTTGCAGATATTGTTCAGAGTTTAAATCAGTGAAACGCAATGTGTATTTGGGAAGGAGGACTCATGCGCTGCCAATGATTGCAATGCTCGTTTGCGCATGTTTATGGATCATGTTCAAGCGTGAATGAGATATCAGTATGTAACGAACGACTCTTGGAAAATAAAATTAATTAAGTTGAATGGTTCAGATGGCCGCGAACGATTCCATAGCGATGTGAACAAGCGAAAATAACACTTTCAAATAGGTATGATAGCAAATAAAGTAGCGTGTGGATGATCCGAAGGTGTTTGGTGATGAAACACACAAAGTAAATGTTCTCGCTGACCGATATTGGCAATCGATGTCGCAACGGTCGCCTTTCGTCGCTGTGCGCTCATTCCTTTCTTGAAATTAAACAATGATTCTTCGTTCGTTAATCCAATATAATAAGCCGTATCGTTTGCTTTTAGGCAATAACCATTTCCCGGATTCAGTCGAATAGGTTCATCGATGCCATGCGAACGTACACCGAGCAGACCAACTCCATACCTAGAAATCACTTGTCGTCAGTTATCCATCAACCACAAACGCTGCTTAATCCTTCACCAGCAACTACTCTGTGTAACTGTGAAGAACACGAAAATAAGTGAAATATGAAAGTCACAAACGAACGAACATTCGATGCGCGTGAAAAGACGCGTAAGTGAAAGATTTGCCAATGTATTCACCAAAAAATTTACTATCTCCAATTCTGATGTCGTATATTTCGTTACCCGAATGAAAGCCATAAACTTGATGCCAGGGTTCGGTTGACTTCTGGCCTTCCCTTCAAACAATCAAAGTAATTTTTCGACGCAGTAATAATGAGCTAGCATGGCACACAATAGATTCACTTCACTTTTCATAAGAGCGACACGATAAAAATATCCTTAATCAATTGCTTCCGTGCGTCAATCATCCTATTTCTTGCACAGCAATTGTTTATCTGTCCTATCAAACTCAAATTCCTTTGAAAATCTCCAATAGTTTCTGGAATTGTATCCGAACATTGATTTTCAGCGGTTTTGTGCGAGCTAATTGATCATCTATTTGATCTCGAAAATGAAACTCCATGATTAAATGCAGATGGTGATGAAAGCAAACAGTTCATAATGAGCTTACTCTCCGCGAGACGTATGAATGAGGAGAGTGAGATATGTGGAGATTCCAGGACAAATGCAGTTGTTGGCCAGAATAGAGTACTTGAACTCGTCCTCGCATACAACCACCTCTGAAGTTCACTTCAGCCAGTCAAAATTTTACGAACGGATAACGGAATGAATTGATTTTTCAAAATTTCATTTGAAAGTTCCGTTGTTATAAAGCATACACTATATTATGTCTTCAGTGTATTCATATCTAATGTATTTATATCTATGCGATATCCCCAACAAATGCAATGATCGTACATGTGAACTCAAACGAAAAGTGCCATAATCAAATGGAATAAATTAATTAAAATGACTGAATAATCACTCACGTAAAATAATGTTATTAAATAGCAACTGAGAAACTGAATAACTAACCAAATCAAAACAATTGGATAAAACAAATCAAAATAATTGGACAAATTAATGAAATAATCAAAAGATATTAAAATTCTGAAAAACACTGTGACTAAAAAAATGATANCGTTCAATTGCTAAGAGGAATAACTCAATCAGCTACCGTATAGTTGTCTCAGAGTCTGTGATGCATAAAACATGAATACATTTTATAATCCAATTCATCTTGAACATGTCAAATTGTAACTCAATTTGTCAATTGTTTTTGCTTTCTGCAAGCGTTTCTGTGAACGAATGTTTGTGAATGCAAATCGTTAATGTAATTTCTGATCACTAATCAAATCATTCATATTCTGCACGACAACTATCGCGAGCAGTTAATTTCATTCAGTTGTTGTTTTGCATAATAAGATGAAAGGATACTGTCATGCAATATCTTACCAGCGTGTTCAATGTGCATTTTTGTTTCGGGTCGAAATATCTGCACGTATTGTGGTACATGTGGAGCGTGATCCTTGACTGCCCATGAGCGCAGAATGGTGTGTTCATCCTTGAACGAGCATATTGCTTGGGTGTGTTCATACGAGGATGAGTTGCGTGAAAATACACACTCCGAACACGCTGATGCGTTCTTTTATCGAAAAGGAGTGTTCAGTTTGAGAATAGAAAGGTAATTGAGAGTACCGTGCGATTTTTTTGATTAATATGTCTCGCTGAAAGAATGAAACAAGCTTTTGCGGTGGACATTCGCGCACGTTCTAAATCCTCATCCTTCAACGCCGATCCGCGAATGTACAAAACACGTGATGACCATAACGGTATCTTCAACAGCATTCGCATTCGATCATCCATTTCACATGGCGACAGCAAAATTATCAAGTGATTCTGAAATATCGTTTGTAAACAAATTCAGCCGCTGCTCCAACCAAACAATTTCATCCGGTGAACAAAAAGGCTCTGATTGTGAGTGAATTGTTCTGCATCGATCAACTGCTTTTTGTTTTGAATAAAGGAAGTTTTGGCAATGTGAAGTGATTATTGGGAGAACTGGTTGAGTTGATACCAGAAACGCTCAAATGAAACATTGAAATTTCAAAAATACTTCCAACGATGATATGCATACTTGGTGTTCAGAATGAGCAAAAAACTCAGTTAAGAAGTCTTGGATGAATTCAGCTTCCAAATGAGTGATCGTTACAACGACGTGCTTTTCACACTTCGCCCAACCCTCAGTGTATTCACCACCAGCTCTTTGCCTGGCCAGCCATGTCTGACCGAGTGCTTCGATCTGTAATTGTTTCACTTCCAAACCTCAATTTAATTTTTACCCTATCACTTCCTATCGATGCGTTTCAATTGACCAGTATCGTTTGGTCAATTGATGATAAAAGGGAGTTGCGTCTTCAAAATTCAATACAACAACTGTCACATAGGTGATTGAAGTGTAATGCTTCGATGAAATAACCTGTGAAGGAAGGATACCAATTGCGGCACAAATGAGAGCAACCACGAATAAACGCGACATCCACGTATCTGGATAACAGTCACCATAGCCTTAAACAACAACGGCAAATTATATATGCNAAGGAATCTTTCCGAAGCTTGAGACTCTAATCAACGCAACAGAACTTAACATTCTCGATCAGTCTCGCTGAAAGTAATTTTTCAAATGAAACGGGCCTAGAGCGCAGCCGCAAGAAGCGATCAATGATAAACGTTGATGGAAGCTTTTTAAGATAGTTTAAACATCTGTTGTGCTTTGAGGGACATTGTCCAAAACGCTGTTTTCAACGCTTTTGCAATTGGTCGAGTTTTGCGATGCTCTGATGATCCGAAGAGTTTATCGCGTACGTATGATAGAACAGTAGAACAAGATCTGATTTCCAGAAGGCATAATATTGACCACCGCACTATCAAACAATTTTCAATTGCAGTTTTCTGGAGAGAATAAAATCGTCCAATGCAAACAGTCCAAATCCTGCGGTTGAAAATTTGCACAACTTGTTCACATCAGATTTGTGGAATGAAAAAAGTCCGCTGAAGAAAAGGCTCACCAACAGTAGAGAACGTAACGACAACGAAATAAAATGAAGTGAATAAATCGAATTGTCTATCGCCACCGCGTTGAAGATGCTGCATACCGCACATACCCGTAAAAATTAGACATACCAATGTTGAAAGTAATATTATCATTTGACGGAATAATGCAGACTGCATACGCGGTGAAACTCGATTCAGATCGTTCTGAAACATCATACGTAATTTTCGCTCTTGAATAAATATTGAACTCGAAAGTTACTATTGAATTC